TCTACAATGTNCGCTAAACACTAGATTTTATGTCGGGTTCAATATTTATATCTAAGATTATCAACCCTAGAAATATATTTATACATACTGAAGTACAGATTTTCACTAATTCATGTTACTCATTTTTCCTTGATGCTAAATTATCTACAATGTATTGGGAGAGAATTCACCTCTTTATAAGAATCCTACTTGAATTGATTATGGATAATCTACAATTAAAAAACTTTTAAAAAATATGTATTGAGTGAGATTTCAATCCATGGTATTGTGCTTTACTTACAAGATGTATCACTTATGTGCAAGGTGTCAAAACATGATATAACTCGTTAACACGATNTACTTTTAAAAAATATGTATTGAGTGAGATTTCAATCCATGGTATTGTGCTTTACTTGCAAGATGTATCACTTATGTGCAAGGTGTCAAAACATGATATAACTCGTTAACACGATACGAAATTAAAGGGTTTAAATTTTTTTTAAGTCACCCAATTTTTAAACTAGTACACCTGATACGACATGATTAATAAACGAATTAGGTACGAGTAAAGTTTATTAGAAGAAATACACAACACGACTCATTTATATACCGGTTATATACGATTGATACATGACACGAATTCGATATGACACGACTCGTTAGACATGAATTAATAAACTAATCGGATAAGGGTGAGTTTTTTAATACGAACCCGCTTTATCCGACACGATTGACTGGCCTTATTATGAGCAATACTATTTGTACCAAATTTGCTGACTCAATCGTTCATANAATAAGGATGAGTTTTTTAATACAAACCTGCTTTATCCGACACGATTGACTGGCCTTATTATGAGCAATACTATTTGTACCAAATTNGATAAGGGTGAGTTTTTTAATACGAACCCGCTTTATCCGACACGATTGACTGGCCTTATTATGAGCAATACTATTTGTACCAAATTTGCTGACTCAATCGTTCATAATCATTGGATCGATATTGATCTCTATTATTTGTTAAGACCTGCAACCAAAAAGATTCGATTCAGCCCATAAGTTATCTTTACAGCTACCTTGTTGCGAAGGAAAGCTTGATAGATAATNGTGATCTCTATTATTTGTTAGGACCTGCGACCAAAAAGATTCGATTCAGCCCATAAGTTATCTTTACAGCTACCTTGTTGTGAAGGAAAGCTTGATAGATAATATCAGTAAATAATATCAATAAATTAAATTTAAATAATATTATTGATTAATTATCTTTTCCTTTTCTAACANTTGATCTCTATTATTTGTTAAGACCTGCAACCAAAAAGATTCGATTCAGCCCATAAGTTATCTTTACAGCTACCTTGTTGCGAAGGAAAGCTTGATAGATAATATCAGTAAATAATATCAATAAATTAAATTTAAATAATATTATTGATTAATTATCTTTTCCTTTTCTAACAGAACAGGATGTGCATGTACTTAATATATTCTTATCACGAGACAAATGCCAACTTAAGGGGATAAAATTGGAGCGTTACATATACTNTAATATTATTGATTAATTATCTTTTCCTTTTCTAACAGAACAGGATGTGCATGTACTTAATATATTCTTATCACGAGACAAATGCCAACTTAAGGGGATAAAATTGGAGCGTTACATATACTTGTAATGATTTTGATTCTCACAGTTGTCTTAACCGCCATGCTTTCTACAAAGTACTACTACTTTTAAAATGAACTTAATTTCCACTCTCTAACGCGATATAAAAAAAAGATTATGTATTATTTTTGTTTATCCCATATCCTTATACCACTCTACAACCGAAAACAAACATGTCTTTTATGTTTTTCTTTTCTATGTCGAGCCCCTTCCACTAATCTTTCTTTAGACTCTATGATAGGCAAACCATTGTAGATTAGGTACAATTATTTTATACATAATTTTAAACCCTCTTGATAGTTAAGAAACTATTTAATATAATTATTTTTTTGAGTTGAAATTAGGGTGCAAATGAGACGAGTTGTTTCAAGAATAGATTTTTAGGAGGGAATTGAATAGAAACTCGTTTTAAGCTTATATGGTATATTAAACAAATTAACTCAAATCCAACTTTAAAACTTGTTTAATAAATGAGTGCATCCAAAACAATGGTGTATTTGGTTCTTTAGGCTTGTGAACATTTATTGTATTTGTTGGGCTTTTGTGGAGTTTAATTTGTATTCATGATTCGGATAATGACTTGACCTGAAATAATGTTGCGTGGTTTTTAATGAGAAATTTTTTGAGACTTAGTCCATGGAGTGGAGGCTTGGGCCGATAAATTGTTCTCGTGAAAATTTTTTTGGGTTTGTTTTGTAGCCAGTGCAAGACACATAAAACCTATTTTTTTGGGTGATTAGGGTTGATTGATATTATACGGCCGCCCTCTATATTCCTTCTTTTTAATAGTGAAATTCGTACAGCTACGTGGACGTAGGCAAATTACCGAATCACATAAATACTATCATATACGTGTGATTATTTTTCTTTAACGTGTGTTTTCTCTATTTTTTGTTTTTCACATATTTGAGAATTTTGTGCAAATTTCCTAGCAATAATCCACATACATAACTATTGAAGCAAGTTGGATTTGATCTTGACCAGGGACATGAATTTGAATTTAATTAGCTTGAACGCAAGTTTGAGCTTGATTATTTAATCAGACAAGTCGAGTAAAGCTAAGTTGAATCTAATCGTGTCATGTTCGGACAGCCAAACATTGTCCAAACATAAAAATTGACAAGCTAAGGTGAAATACGATATTTGAAGCTTGTGACGAGCATGTATCAAGCCCAAACACTTATTTTTTTTATTTAACAGTGAGGAATATACGAATTAACTTACGCACATCTCAACAAATCTCTTTTCCAGTCTAATAAGAGCGAGTTATTTCTGCGCACCTCGACCAAATCCAAACACTAGAAGGTATATTCATTGGTTTGGGGGGAAGGATTTATATCGAAAAATGTAAGCAATAGGGCCGAAAGATATCCATGCAGAGGTATCAACGTACAAGAATCTATCTCTCCACCCCCCAAGAAGTGGAAGAGAAGAGCTCCATAAATTGATTAAGTGGCATACATGAAGAAATGGGCTCACATCTCCCTTTGCCCACATGGAAAACGTTGTAGAAAAATATAATACTTCTTAAAAACAAATTCAATCCAAACTGTTGTGGAAGAGATTTTATATTATTTTTGAAACAACAGTTATGTCTGCCTATGTTCTTTCATCACGACAAGCTAATTATATTGTTTATTATTTTAATTTATTTTTTAGTGTTAGTTATAGATCTCAAAAACTGGGTTGAGCAAACCTCAAGGTAGCTGGTGGCAGGATCGCTTGCTTTTGTTATAGACCGGTGCTTTTCCATTGTGCAGGTTCAGACTACCAACTAGTTATTGGTAGATTCTTGAGATTGAGATTTCCTATTCTTTTCCAAATCTCAAGAATAGGAGAGGCTTTCCCCTCACCCGCCTCGAGCTTCTATTAACATTTCATCGTGTTGTCAATCAGTCATGGTGATTTGTTTTAAGTGATAACATAGACGAACTATAAATTTAAACGTCTTGAGTTCAAATTTTGATAACTTCTTACGGTGAGACTATGAGAGATTTATCTTTCATGAACACCCTAATTCTGGTGTGGATGACATATTTTTGACCAGTCCCAGTAGGGGATTAGTTGAGATACGCATAAACTGACTCAGACACTCCTGACCGTTAAATAAAAAAAAAAACTGAGTTAAGTGGGAAACGGGTGAACCCCTTAAACTTATCAAATAAATGGGCCAACACAAATCCAACCAAACATAACACGAATTTGCTAAACACGATTTATATACGGTTTATATACAATATGAATTTGACTATACAAAAATATCAATAAATTAGATATGAATTGAACAAATTTTAAATCGTTATACAAAACACCACACAGCACGTTGCCTAATTGAATGTTTCATAGTGAAAATTTACCCATGGTTGGTTGATGGGATTGGGAACCTACCGGAGGTGGTCAAATGAAGGCATCAATCTTGAGGGCAATTGATGGAGCACTTGGAAAACTAGCTGGCAATGGTTAAGTGATGGCCTTGATTCTTGTCAATGGTTATGCCCTCTCAACACAAATCACAATGACTCCCACACAGTGTTTAAATCTGACGATTTATATTACACACTTGTTGTGTATTGCACAGGTAACCCTAATGTGTTTTTATGGACCTCCTCGTCTTTGGTTACTTCAAACCTCTAGAAGTGTTGATTATATATAGTTGTTAGGCACAAAACCAAACCAAAGCATAGTGACATTTGTTGTCGAGATGACTCGTGACACCGAGGGTGAAGGTCAAGACCCCTTGTCAAGGTGGTCTCATGGGCTCAGAGTAATGACATTGTTGGATGCTTGTTTGGAGAAGAGAAGGCTTGTCAATGAAGTTAGGGGTCATTTGTTTGATAGGTTTGAGCGTGTTTGGAAGGGATGAATTTAAGTAAAATAGTTTAATATACCACCTAATCCTATGTTTGGTTAAGATTTTTAAACTCGAGTTTCATATCCCGGCCCGTAACCGGGCCAAACAATTAAATCCATGAATATAAGCTTCAACAAACCATGGAGAGTGAGTTTGTAAGTAACCAACCTAAGATACAATGGTAAAAAGACTTTTCTATCCCTAATCTACCCAATTACAAATGATTGGATAGGATAATTTAATCAATTACATGACAAATACTTGGTTATAATTACAATTAATATGTGAGTCTCATATATGTATATGCTACTTAACAAACACATGTATGAATAGAATTCGTCAATGAATCCCATGTACACAAATGTGGAGGTTATACAAATTAAGTTGTAACTTCACCACTTATTCTATACTCATTTCAGTACGGTACCAAAAAATAATTTTTTGCTTACCGCAATTTTACCCCAGCCAAAAACAAAATGCCATGCAATTGTTGACCCAGACAGCCAAAAACAATGTTCCATTTGCAAAGTAATAATAACCACAAGCGAAATTCAACATACTAACAGAAAAGTATAAGCACGTAACGCTTGTCAAATAAAATAAAGCCTCCATGCAAATTAGTATCACATCCCACCTTGTTCTAAAAACTTGATAATGTCACTGATATCATCATTTCAGCAAATGTTTATAACTTAAAAGCTTCAATGTATCCAAAGGTACAGAAAAATACCTTTCTCTAGTTATCAATTTTTTTGGTAGCTTAAAGTCCTCTATACCTTTTAGAAACCCACACAGTTCATGAGCAATGAAAAGGTAGAGTATTAAGATAGAACAATATGTTACCAACCAAAGCAATGGTGTAATGACCGGTTCGCAGGGAGGAAAACAATTTGGAAATCAATAGCAGCGGGGGCATCACGATCAATTCTGCAAGGCAGTCATTTTACAAATGGGGCAGAGATTCTTCAGAGTTAACCACTGTTTAATGCAATTGGTGTGGAAATCGTGCCCGCAATCCAACATTCCAATATCATCTCCAGTAATATATTCCTCCTGGCATCGTAAAAGTTCAAAGTGAGGAACAATTTTTTTTGCAAATAAATCGGTGAAATAAGCTGGCTAATAATCGGCACCCTTCTCATTCCTTTTTTCCTAGGGTAGAAAAAGGCAAACACCAACGCCCCCACCCCCACCCCCACCCAAACCCAAAATAAATAAATAAATAAATAAGAACTTTTCGCACTTTGCACCTTGAAAAATTTTAAGTTTCTCACTTTGCACACTCAAAGATTAAATTTCTCACATTAATCCTCAATTTATCAAAAGTGTTGCGATGTGACCCTTCTGTTAGTTTCTGTTATTTTTTTCTGCAATGTAAAATATTTAATCTTTGAGGGTGCAAAATGAAAAACTTGAAATCATTCAACACATAAAGAGAAATTCGGCCAATAAATAAATGAAGGAAAGAAAAAACAAAAATACCCCTTCTCTATCTCTCTCCCTCTCCAGAGTAGTTGCAGAAAGTGCTCTCACCTGACATATACAGCATGGTTCCAAAATTGACAAGGATCCAATGGCAATGGAAAGATACTTTCTCTGTTTCATAGAACCCAAAATAGTTTCCTCACTCAAACCAGTGTTCACATTTCCTATGCGCTCTTCCAGTGCCAACAATTCCTGATATCCCAATCATGCTGTTAAGAGGCAACCTTCACCGAGGATTTAGTTGAGAGGAAGATAGTTTGCATTACCTCATAAGACATGTTATCGACATCAAGCCTCATATCTCTATGCCTGTCATGCAACTCTGCTACCCCATTTATAAATGGATCAAAAAGCATATAATCCTGCCATATCATCATCAGATGCAGGTCAAAACAAATGTCAGACATAACTGCATCCTCAGTGTCAATCAAAAGACTACTAAGGCATTTCTCTTCATCCATATAACATCTCACAAGCCAACAAGGTTCCCGCCTAAGCGATCCAAATTAGAGCCGTTGAGAGATCCAAAGTATTTGCAGCTTAGTCCTATCAAATTAAATAATGAGCAATGGACTACTACAAGACCTGATTTTGTGGTATCCAGACTAATACCAATCCAACCCATTTCATGAATAAAATGTGGCCAATTAACCAACCAACAAAACTAACATCGAAACATATAAATGCCGACTAATCTGGCCAACCCTGAACTTGGTAAAATGAAAAGGGTTGAATAATTGAAAAATGGGATTATTCAAGAATACACATTGAACGCTGAGATTACGCATTGAATTTCTGGTCGTAGATCCATAATCAAAAAATTGTGTGATTGTTCTAGAAGAAAAGAAACAAAAAATGTGGTAGAAACAAAAGATGTGGTACAGCTAGGACAGTTATTGTATGAGATCTACCCAATGTTAGATGTTGAGGTGCATAATATATCGATACGAACATCATGAGCTACCCCTTAATAAAACTGGTAGTTGATGATACCTTCTTCTCGGTTCCCTCTTCCATAATCTGAGCTCGAAGAAGGAAGAAATAAGAGGACCCTATGGAGAATGTGGTCGATAATAGAGTCCAGTACCCCAGCCACAGAAAGGATATTTGAGTTGGGGGAAAAGGCATTAGATCATAAACCTACCAGACAAAGCAGTGGGAGGCTGTAAAAAATTAACCAGATGATTAAGTTTTGAATTGGAATGAAGAGAGAGCTGGTCCAATACTGTTGTCTCCTGACTGTCAGACAGAATATTTGAGGTTTCCATACCTGATTAGACCATATGGGCCCTACCTGGGAAAGCAAAAAATGCAACAAGAAGCAAGCCTATGTCAACAAAGTGGGGAGATTAATTTGGCTCCTTAGGTGGACCAAATAATATCTGGAACAGAATTTGTTGGCAACTGGAAACATCATTTGACAAGTTGAATTGATGGGGGCTGACACTAATTTTCCAAGTTTTCTTTCACCTTTTTTTAAAAAAAAACTAACTGTCTGGTGTTCTATGTTAATTTCGAGGAAAGCAACTCACAGGAATATTGTCAAAAGCTATGTTCATCACTGTGCAGGGAAAAAGTCATGTATCAGCGAACATGTTACTGTTAGAAGCTACTTTTTGTATCGTATATATTCCAAGGACCTCATAGCATGTAAGACCAATTTTATTAATCACCATAAAGTCAAAAACCAAACCTCAGCACGTAAGTTCTCACCCCTCCGCATAGCATTCAAAACTTGACGAATCTGTTCCATAGAGGTAAGACAAAAATTGTCAGCTCAACTTTGACAAATTTTCTTAAAAGAAAAGAGAAACAATCAACTTCGACAGCAGCCAAAATTAGGTTCATTTTCTTTTTCAATGAAAAATAAGGTATCACAAAATTAGGATCGAGTAAGAAGAATGTAGGCATGATCATCCATATATAAGCACATCCAGATACTCCTCAAAAACTAAACGAACAGATCAAAATGACTACCACAAAGTGGAGCCAATGGAAAGCTTTTAATGTAATATTAACTATATAAATAGCAAACAGCAACATCAACCACTAAACAAATGCCAAAACAGCAATAAAAATGCAATGAAGTAAAATAAAATCAGGAGATGTTTTACCCTCAAGTAGTTCTATGTCCCACTTCCACATATGGAATATTTTCAGTATCATAAGGCTCACTAAACAATTCTTAATCCCACAAATTTTGTAGCCAATTGGCCTTTTGGGCCTTATGCCTCAGTAATATGAACCCGGTACGGTAGTTTAAAAGAAAAGACAAAGGAAACAGAATGCCATGTATAGCCCAAAAAAGTTGATACATCCCACAGAAGACTGACATATGTCCTGTCCAATAATTACTTATTCCAAGGGGACAAACCTGACCTTCCCATGCGTTTGCACGAGAATGTATATGGTGTAAATGATTTATCATGAAAATAAATCACTAAAATGAAGACCTCTACAGCTACAGAAATTAAGTAGCAACTAATACAACAATTGACAATCATCAAAAGAAAATTAAGTGTTCCATTGTAAAATTATGAGAAAAATGAAAAAATAAAGTAAAATAAAGAATAAGAAAGAAATCTCGGACAAAATAGGATCAACATAGTTAAAAAGAACAAAAAAACCAAGATTATGTCGCACAATGAAACAAATAATGACCATCAAGAGGAAAATGAACCATTACAAAAGAAATTCGTTTGTTGTGATGCTATGATTTTTTGGAAACATCTTGAGGCTGAAGAAATAAATGAATATACAATAAAATGAAAAGGATGATGATGCCAAATTAGTAATGCTAAAAATAACACTGATAAAAACATGTTACAGATATCCAAGTTCAGCTGCAGTCATCATGACATTACACCGACCTCTGTAATCTGCTGAACTGTAAATATAAATGTCACACAAATTTATGTGGAATTCACAATGCATAAGCAGTGCCAATATTCCAGGTTTAAGTACAAAGGTAGCATACCAATTTCTATATCCTAGAGAAATGGTGTAAAGAAATCACAAGTGTGAAAAATGACGAATATCAATAAGGAATAATGTAGAATATAAACCTCGGATACCAGCCTCTGTCTCCCCTCAATGTCAGCAGCTAAAGAGCGCCAACCATTAATATCATCAGCTGGTACCTCCATCAAAAACGCTGACCTTGGATGGGGCTGATGATGGCCCCGGCTACTAGGTCCAGGTGACATGGCTGTCACCTCAGAGGAAGAAGACGGGCCTGAAGGCCACGGGGAAAATTGACCTCTCTGACCTCCAGAGTCGGATTCAACAGAAGTAAATGGAGGCCATGGAGTAAATTCTGGTAATCTCTGATTATTTTGTGTTGGGGGGCTGTGATGAGGAAACCAAACATGAGGAAAAGAACGTAAACCGGAACCAGTGCGAATTCGAGAACTGGAAGGAACACCTCCTGACGAGCTTGAACTTCCAGCAGCTAAATTCCAGTTAGCAGGGTCTTGAACCAAATTTCTTGACTCAGTTGCAGAAACAAACATGGAATGCTCTGCTGCATTATTTCTCAGTGTGCTTCTCAAGTTCGGTTCATCCCGTGCTGCCCCAACTCTATCTCCAGAAAGCATATGAGAACCTGATGAACTTCCGGCTCTTGGATTAAAAGCTCCATTCCAAGGGACTGGAAGCATATTTCTTGGCAAACCAGGAGCATGCATTAAATGAGGCTGATTTGGCGGATTACTTGAATCAACTGGTACAGAAGCTGTTGGTCTCAAATCCAGAGAATCAGAGAATGTGATACCTCTAGATGCCTGGTCGGAAGAGCAAATGCTCGAACGCCTTATGGTGGTCCCTGTCAATGGTAAGTCAAATGGACCAGATTCCTGCTGTCCCACATGCAGTCTAACACCAAAATTTGTTGTGGAGTTTTCTGCAATTCCAGTAACACTTGAAGTAGGAGATGCATCAAATGTGGCTACTCTTGTACCAACCCCAATTCTCGTGTTCAGCTGTTCAGAATTACTAACCCTGGGCAAGATTATTGGGGGTGAAGTTATATTTAAGCTGCTAGAAGCATGATAACGAGCAGGAACAGTATGTCGCGCAATGTGCTCAGATTGTGGAAAGCAGCTTGAACTTCCAACTGAGTAAGACTGTGCAGAAGTACCTTCAAGAGCCTTTCTCTTGCAGGATAAACCCCAGCTGCTCGAAAAAGAAGCTGATCCATCCTCATCCTCTACCAAATATCCAGAATTATCAGAAGAAGTCTCAACATTGTCAGAAGCTACCCTATCCCAATCACCATCATCAATGTTGCCCATGTACCCAGCAGCATTTAAATTCACATTCAGAGAAATACGATTCGTACCCGAACTCTGCATACTCAAATGTCCACCAGAAATCGGTGTGCCACCGGAGCTACTACTACCACTCTCACGAAGAAGGAAATTAGATGGTTCAAATCGTCCATCTATCCTTGTATCAACCCCAGCACGAGCACTAAATGCAGATGACCAACCATGTTCCACCTCTAATCCATCATTAGAGATCTGGTCTCGTAAATTCGCACCAGAACTAGATGCACCCAGGTCCCAGCCACTAAAACTTCGAGAATTATGACTGGCATTCATGCAACTAGAATTCCCCTCACCAGAAGAAAGCATGTAATTTGACAACCGGCTTTCTACTGGAGTTAGCATGTTGTTCCAAGCCGACTCATCCACAATAGTGTTATTGGGAACAGATTCCTGGTTAAGATCCACGGTTTCAGGAACAGAATCAAGGGCCCTCCTCTGTCCTTGCATTACAGCCAATTTATATCCTTAGAGAAATGCAAAGGACTGAACAGTATAAAAACACTTGGCCGTCCAGAAAACTGTTTAGGCAAAACTGAATTCGCACACCCCCCAAGACTTGATAAGAACTAGCTCAACAAGATAGCTGGAAATCTGCAACACATTCACAAAATTAAAAAGCCCTTACAGTTTCAGATATTTACCCATAAATCTAAACAGTGGAAAGAGAAAACATATGCACCCACTCCACGCACTCCAACCACAGACAAACTGTGAAGTCAATGTCACTTATAAAACCAGAGGCCTGCAATGCAGAAAGTGAAATGCAAATTATAATTTAGCTAGCCAATCTAAAAAGAGGAAGAGAATGAAAGAATGACCATAACCTCTTCTTACAACATGTATTCACCACCGTCTAATGCAGACAAGTTGCTATGCAACCAGAACACTGGAAAGGCTCCCACTTTAGTCAAATTTAGCGACTGGAACAGATTTGACAGGATGAATTAGTGCCCCTCCTCAACCAAAACATCTAGATATAGCATCTGAAACTTTCGAGGCAAGAGCATCTTTAGCATTGCTACAAAATAAACAGAGTGGGACTAAAAGTGGAGCAATGCAGGCAAAGAAAATCTGTTATGCAGATGGTTCTTCAGGAGCTCCTAGTGCTATTGGCTAGACATTCACCTACTCGCCAGAGTTTAATAGTCTGCCATTATGAACTCATGACTTAATCCTCCAAAACTTTTGCTTCAAAAGTGTGAACAACTCTAGGGCAGAATTGGCATATTTATCCTTGAAGTTTTTTAAATCAGCTAGAAACTGTTAGTCTCTATTTCAGCATTGGACTTTTAGGTACTAAACTTTCAGTTCCACAATTACATTAACATAGATATGCAGGTCATTTCTAATCACAATTAATTTTCCCAGCTTATAGTTCTAATCATTTAGATTCAGGTCATAGAAATATCACAGATATGCACCCACATATTACATGCATTAAGAAGCCTTTTAATCTCAGAAGGAGATATGAGGTATCCACACAGAAAACAAGAATTTAAGTCAATTATTGCTAAAAATTTCTTCAGTTCACATATTCCAACTCATCAATAGCACCAAAGATGTTATAAAATTTGAACAAAATAAATTTATGATACTAACCAAGAAGAGAAAAACAGAATTATATCAACTTTATGAATATCACCGAAGAGACTTTGACTGGTAGGATTTTATAAGGCCCATAAAGATCAAATCTTTCGATGGTACCTATGAAAAAAACCATAAAATAAGAACACACCCACCTAGCAAAATCTACAAAATAAATTTTAAAAATTTCAAAAAATAATTAAACCCAAAAATTAGCAGATCCCTCTTTCCACTATCGCAACTGAATCAACATGCAAATGAGCATTAACACAAAAAGAAAATACAAAAATCAAAATAAAAAAAAGGCAGTAAATTGATTGTGAAAACTGATTATTATAAAAATTAAGCAAAAAATGAGATGGGTTAAGACAATAACCTGAAGGTCTGAGAAAGATGAGGATCGATGAACGGACCGATCGTGTTTCAAAGTAGTAGTTTGTGGAAAGTAAGAGGCGTTCCCAGAATTTGAGCTCTCTTTTTCTCTCTCTCTCCGACGTTTCGTTTTGGTGCTGAGGGATAATAGATGCATACAAGGCCACTCAACAAATGTGGATTGGAGGAAGAGGGTGCGTGTGGATGTAGAAGGAAGGGGAGAGAGAGAGAGAGAGAGAGAGACAGAAAGAGAGAGAGAAGGGCGTTTCCTGAGAGAAGCGATTGGATTAGGAAAATATAAACTAATTAAGCACTGATTAATATTTTAAGAGTGATAGTGTTGTGAATTTTTACGGTTGGATTTGTTTTGTTGCTGAAAGATTTTCAGAATCTATTGATAAACTATGGAGCTTAGAATGATTTTGAGCCGTCGATTCAAGACTAAGTTTGATTGTAATAATGACGATATCTAATGCAGAACTCTGTTTAGGTTCTTCAAAATTTTGCTAGATACGTTCCCTATGCATGCATCTTATGCATAGAATGACATACATCATCATTAATTATGTACCCATTTTTATGCACAAGTAATCATGATTATATTTTTGATATTACGATTAGAAGATGATTCGGATTCAATTATGAGTGTTCAAATCGATTTATGTGTATCTCAATTATTCTCTTCTCTATAATGATCAAATGTGAGTTATGTATGTCAATATTAGATAATTTATAATAGATAAATTATTATGATCTGATCCCAAATAAAATATCAAAATTCGAACTTGTGATTTTTAAATTTAAAAACTCATTCCTCTTTCTACTAATTGTTTTAAAGGATGCAACTTTGGTCCTCCTGATTATGTTGATTTCTTTTTATAAAATTGTGAATTCCATTTTAAATTCTCAAGTTATTACCTGTTGTTCAAATAGCTAACATAAATTTCATCTTTTTAAATTATGAGTTTTGATGATGTATAAAACGGTCTTATATAAGATCAGCAGTCATGTGTGATAAAGTGTAATTAATAGATAATTAATAGAACAATCATTGACAATAATGTAAATATAAGGTTACCACACAGATATATAGTGGTTACTCTACTCCAAAAAATGACAACGGTAGCTTGGGAATATTTTATTGATTAAGTAAGGTGAATGAGAGAGAGAGAGAGAAATAGGTCAATGGTTAACCCTGAGAGGTATACAATAGCTAGGAGAGAGAAAAATTACGTGTGGGGTGTTTAGAGATGTCTTCTCTCATGTAGAGAGAGTTTACAATTTATAGGCACAGAGCCTTAGTTAAAGCGGTGACGTAAGGATAAAGGTACTAGATCTTCGGAAAGCTACAAAAGGTAAATAAAATTAAAGGTTGTTTTGATCTTCGAGAGTGAGTATCCCAATAATTACTTCTCACGTGCTCTAATTCTTTTGAACTCTGGATTGGGCCGAATCCATGAATTGGGCTTGACCCGCCTTGTAGCTGATTTAGGTCTAGCTCATTAATTGGGCCTAGCCCTGTCAAATCTGAGCTTGTCATTTGCCCCCCATGCCCAAGCCATAGCAATGATTGGGGGTTGAGCGCATAAGTGAGCTCTTTCCTTTGGGTAGAACAGATTTTTTGTTCCATATGGTGGTTTCTTTAGCTTTCCATCCACGACATTTTTTAAGCTTATTTCTCTATTTTTATTCTACTCTTAATTAGGTAGCCTATGTCTCCAATTTAGCGGTTTTCACAAGAATCGCCACAAGCTTAACCTAACTCAGTATGTGTTTATACGCAAATAATCTCGTTCTCTAGAAGCTCAGCCTCGAGAGTTGTTGTTCTCTTATAAGCCAACCTCAAATGCAGCCTAGTGCCCAAGTTTCTCTTCCACCAAAGCTCTTGACACCTCGTTGAGTTTGAGCGTCCTCAAAAGTAAGAAAAAGTTGCAACCATCTGCAAATTTCTGAAGAATGTCAGCATGACCAAACATACAGAAGATAGAGTTCCATATAACTGGTGGGTACCATAGCAAAGTTCTTTATCTCGGTATTGATAATACCCTTAAGACCCCAAGAGTTGACATCCAAGAGTGTCATAAATCTCCAAAACATCTCCTTAGCCAAAATTTATATCCTACAGCAGGGACACCAGACTATTACTAGAAGCTGGATAATTATGTGAAGCACTGGGGGCATCAAACCCCCGTCTTCCAAGAAACAGCAGGACTGTTAGACATCAACTGGGAAGCACTAGAGGCATCAGATCTCACCCTTTTTAGAGAAGGGGAAGTCACCATCCTAATGACGTAGAGAGACCAATGGGCCTTTGGTCCATTGGTACTCTTTGCCTTGTGAAGGCTTTGTTTTCTTGAGATCAATAGTTCAATCCCCTTTCTCCTCACCTTCCCTAAAAAAAAGAAAAATAGTGACGTAAAGAGCCTTCGTTATTAATCCATCAACCACGGGATCACTTGTGAAAATGAGAATTTTCATAAACCAAAGACTTCATCAATTTACCTGAGTCCTGCATGATGTCACCCGTGGTATTGCCCAGTCTTATGTCTTCCCTAGTGTTGCCCAGGATCATACCCATGGCGTCACTCACCAAAGCATCTCCATCTCCACGCGTCGAAGCGTCCATTCTTCTCTTTGAGAGTAGAGTAGAGATAGACCAAGTTTTTGGTGACTCGCGAGAGAGCTGCTAAGTTGGAGACATAGGTTGCTTGCTTGAGAGTGAAGCAGATATAGGCCAAACTTTTTGGTGACTCTCGTGAGAGATGCTAAGCTAGATATAGGCTACCTACTTGAGAGTATAGTAGAGATAGGTCAATCTTTTGACGACTCTCGTGAGAGCCACTAAGCGGAAGACATAGGTTGCTTGCTTAAGAGCAAAACAGAAATACACAAACCTTTTGGCGAATCTCGTGAGAGCCACTAAGCTGAAAATATAAGCTGCCTACTTGAGAATAGAGCAGAGATAGACCAATCTTTTGGCTACCCTCATGAGAGCTGCTAAGCTAGAAATATAAATTGCCTGCGTGAGAACAGAGACAAAGATAGGTCAAGCTTTTGGCGACTTTCGTGAGAGCCGCTAAGTTGGAGATATAGGCTGCCTACGTGAAAGTAGATACAGAGATAGGCCAAGCTTTTGGCGACTCTCATGAGAGCTGCTAAGTTGAAAATATAAACTGCATGCTTGAGAGCATAGCAGAGATAGGTCAAGCTTTTGATGACTCTTGAAAGAGCCTCTAAGTTAGAGATATAGGTTGTCTGTATGAGAGCAGAGCATAGATAGGTCAAGCTTTTTGGCGACTCTCGTAAGAGCCACTAAGCTAGAGATATAGGCTAGTTGCTTGAGAGTAGAGCAGAGATAGACCAAGCTTTTGGCGACTCGCAAGAGAGCTATTAAGCTGGAGGTATAGGCTGCCTGCGCGAAAGTAGATGCAGAAATAGACCAAGTTTTTCTGGCGACTCTCGTGAGAGCCGCTAAACTGGAGATTAAGACACGGGCGTCGCTGGGCAAGGACGATGAGGGGCACTGGACGCCAAGGGGTGCTGGGTGCCGCTAGGCACGAACGCCAATGAGCACTAGGTGCCCTTGGGCATGAACGTCGAAAGGGCGCTGGGAGTTGGGCACGAACGCTGAGGGGCATTGGCTGCTGCTGGGCACAGACATCGAGGGGTGTTGGACGACGCTGGGCATGGACATCGAGGAGTGATGGGTATAGGTGCAGTGACGCCAAATATGTGGGCGACAAGAGGAGACAACGTGAGCCAACTAAGCGGCACCACGGTTGGAGGTAGAGGGCGACGACACTAGCAATGACTAGGTGACACCACTGCCTAAACACTGAGCACTGGTATGCACGTTGAGGATTGTGGGAGATGCCTTGGAGCCTAGCTGTTTGGGCAACTCTTGCAGCAGATGGTCTGGGCGACGCCACTGAGCAGATAGTGGCCCTAGGCGACGCCTTGCAAGCAATCTGGGCCACGCCATTGCATAGGTAAATGTGTTGGCGCTGGTGTTAGGCGTTGGTTAGCACGGGCGTCTAGGCATTGGGGTGCTAGGTACAGACGCCGAGGGAGCCCTTCATTTACTTGGTTGACTATAAATTATGAGTTATTACAGGCTGTCAAATAGTGGGCCTCCATCTCCAATGCAAGATTCAAGCCTGATTTGAGGGCCTCATATTCCGCTTAATTATAGGATGTTGCAAAGTGGAGGGCGACAACGTACTTGAGTGGAGTGTCATGGGGGCTAATCAATACTAGTCTTGTGTCGCCGTCCTCGTTGGTGGAGGACCCATCCACGTATAGTCTCCAACATGGTACAATAGATGGTAGCGAGGGCGCAGAGGGCTCCCGTGGAGTAGGCACAAAGCATTCGAGCGCCTTTAGTATGAGAGTGTGGTCTCCCGAGGCCTGTGAAGCTGTCTTTGAGATGTCGGGCTTTCTCAGGATAGTGTCTGGCTTGCCTCGTGGTGGGTGGAGGCATTATGCACTTATTAGGCGAGCGCAGGGGCGCGTGATACTTCCTCTTGGGATTCCTGTGGTGGTGTAGACTCCCTGGACTTCCTTGGCGGTGTGGACTCGTAGGCGAGGGGCACCCTGGCACTGCCTTTGGGTGTTCTAGTGCGGGCCCCCATGGTGAGGGGTGGCTTAGGGCCTAGAGCGTAGAGGTTGCAGTGTTTCTCTCGTCAAAGGAAGTGATGCTCCTCTTATAGGCTGAGGGGCGACGCCTCCCGAGCGAGCATCAACTAGATGATTTGATGGTTCTGGTTTAACTACAGCTGCATGGTTTGTAAAAGTTGTTGCCCGACCATGAGAGTCACTGCAGTGGATGGTTTTGCGGGTGTGGGCGGAGGTAGAAGCAGAGCCTCTTCTCGACTGGCCAGGTTGTTGTCCCGTAGTTGTTGACTCATCAACTTGGTCGTGATCACCATATATTTGAAAGAGGGTAGTAAGGTAGTAGAAAACTTAATTGCTTCCCACAGACGACGCCAAACTAATGATTCACAAAACAGTTTTATGTAAGATCAATCGTCAAGTGTGTGATAAAGTGTAATTAATGGAGCAATCAATGGTAATAATGTAAATATCGGTTCAATACACAGATATGTAGTAGTTCGGTCCAGTGACCTACTCCACTCCAGAAAACGGCAAT